TGTGTGTGTGTGTGTGTGTGTGTGTGTGTGTGTGTGTGTGTGTGTGTGTGTGTGTGCGCGTGCATGCGTGCGTGTGTGTGTGTTGTCTATTTCTCTACCTTTGCATTCTTTACACCGTTTCATATTAAAGTTGTTTCTCACCCGTTTGCTTAATATTGTCCACTATGGACATTTTATAGATACTCAGGAGTAAAGTTGTTGTTGTGTGTGAAATGTAACTTGTTGGAGATACTTTTCATTTTATTTATCACTTCTATCACACATTAGTGGTTTTAGTGCTCTGATCGTGTAACATCAGAGACGAATGTTTGTTATGTTTTTTAGTAAATGTTGATTTTGGTGTTTTAAAAGTTCAATGCTTTATTGATTAAGTTAAATTAAAACATTTTGGTATGTTGATTTTGCTGCGTAAATTTCAAATATTTGATGAGTTTTAAAAGATTGTCGTAGGTGACAACTTAAATTATCGAATAAATCATTTTTATTCAAGATTTGACCTTTGATACTTGCTCATTAAGATCTAAATCATTTTTATTCAAGATTTGACCTTTGATACTTGCTCATTAAGATCTCTCACGAGGGACTCGCCCTTCAAGACCCCAAAAACATGAGATTATTGTTTTTCTCATTTAAATTACTTTTCCATTTTGGAATTTATACTTGAGAAAATGTAAATTGATATGTCATAACTTAGTCATTTTGACCTTGATGTAACTTATATTTTGATCTTTGAAATTCATAAAAGAAATTTTTTTTTTCAAAATTCACTTTAAAAGTTGAAGACATATATATATTTTAAAAAATATGTGTTTTAAAATTTTTATTTTAACTATATGTGTCACGTTTCATAAGTGACACACCATTTATGAATTCCTTTATTAAAAAATGAAAAATGGAAAAATATTTAAAAAAATAATAAAAAAAATTAAAACTATTTGAATTTAATATAGAAAAATTGATTTTGAAAATAAAGTAAAATATACAATTAAACTTTACTTTTATTATTATCTATACTAAAAAAATATAATTTATTAAAAAAACTAACAGATAAAATACAAAATATTAAATAACTTTTTTATATGTGCAATTAGTTATTATCATTATTAGTGTAAAAAAATTAAAAACATTAAACAAAGACAAATATTAAAAAGAAATCGAAGTAGGTGATTTATTGAAAATGAAACATATATTTACATTAAATATTTAATATTATTTTGGTCACATTAATTTCAGAGTTCATTTTAATATTTTAATTTTAAAACAAACTATATCAATCTCTTAATCCTTTATAGCTTACTATCTTAATATTTATTTAATTAACAATAAATTTAAAATAACTTTTTTTATTTTTTTGTTATTTAAAAAAGAATAAAAAAGTTAACATAATATATTTTGAGACGTTGAAAAATCAATATAATTCTTTTTAAGTTAAAAAAAATGCATTAAATTATTTATACTTTTGTAAAAGAACAAAATTAAGTAAATTATTTAGGACCCACAATGTACCAGATCATTTCCCTTTTCTTACAACAAAAATTCCCAAGAAAAAAGAAGAAATTATTTTTTATTGTTTTATTTAAAATATTCTATGAATCAAACGCATAGCGTCGAACGAACCTCACCCTCTCTTTTCTTCGTTCATTCAAACCTCCGCCTATTCGTTTGATCCATTTCCAGATTCCACTTCAACTTCACGATCATCGCTTCATTCTCTGGTTTGTCACTTTCTTCAATTCCATATTCTTATTCCTTGCACAAGAATTTCGTAACTCTCACTTTCCCCAAAATTCCCGATTCAACAATTCTTTTCAAATTCTTTTTTCCGTACTTCAATTCTGATTCCTTACGATTATTATTAATGTGCATTAGTTTTGCCCTAATTAGTATTTAATTTTCATATTGAGTATAATTCTTCAAATCTTTGCATAATTACAGTTTCATTGGTGTAGTAGGGGTAAGTGTTTTTGAATCTTAGCCAGATAGCACTCACACCTCTAAAATAGAAAATAAAAGTGTGTTTTCATGAATGTTGGTATCCGAAACTGACACAATCACACTTTAATTACGTATCTGTGTTATTGTTTGTCGTGTTCTTGGTGTCCGTGCTTTTTTGAGTTTATTTTATTCCCTTATGGAAAATATCCCTGTTGAAGTGATTGGTAATATACTATCTCATATTGGGTCTGCTCGTGAGGCTGTGATTGCTTCATCAACTTGTAAGAAATGGAGAGAAGCTTGGCGTTCTCATCTCCATACTCTTTCATTCAACTCTTGTGATTGGCCGGTTTATCATGAATTAACCTCTGATAGTTTGGAAATACTCATTACTCAAACAATCTTTCAAACCAAGGCATTGCAGTGTTTAATCATTTCAATGGGTGATGTTCATGAATTTTCTACTGCACCGGTTATTGCTTGGCTTATGTATACAAGGGATACCTTGCGCCAGTTGCATTTTTACGTGAGCACGCCGCCGATGTTTAATATTATTGAGAAATGCGGTAGGCAGAAGCTGGAAGTGTTGGCGTTGGGTCGGATCTCTATCACGCATGTGGAGCCTAGTTATCAGAAGTTTCCTTGCTTGAAGTCGCTTTCGTTGAGTTTTGTTAGTATCTCAGAGTTGGATTTGTGCCTTTTACTTACGGCTTGTCCAAGGCTTGAAACGTTGTCTATGGTTAGCCCGGAAATTGCTATGTCGGATTCGCAGGCTTCCATGGAGCTTAGTAGCTCTTCTTTGAAGGAATTCTCTGTTGAGTCGTTTGGTTTGGATAAATTTGTAATAGAGGCGGATTTACTCGAGTGTTTACATCTTAAATATTGTACTTTTGAGGTTTTTGAATTGATTGGAAAGGGATCTTTGAAAGTGTTGAAGGTTGATGATGTGAGTCTCATCCATCTTGATATTGGTGACAATGCAGATAACCTTGAGTTTGTAGACATAAGCAACTTCACAATTATGTGGCCAAAGTTTTACCATATGATCTCAAAAGCATCAAAGTTACGTAGACTTCGACTGTGGGGGGTTGGTTTTGAAGACGATGAAGAAGTTGTAGACTTGGAAACGATTTCTGTTTGCTTTCCTCAATTGATGCACTTGTCATTAAGTTATGATTTAAGAGAAGGTGTACTTAATTATGGCCTACAAGGCTCGTCTCTTCTGATGAATGTGTCGGTGTTAGAACTTGGATGGACTTCAATCAGTGATCTTTTTGCAGTATGGGTAGCTGGGCTTTTGGAAAGATGTCCCAACTTGAAAAAAATGGTCATTCATGGTTTTGTTTCAGAGGTCAAAACACATGAAGAGTGCATAATTTTGGCAAAATTTACCGAATTCATTATTCAACTTGGAAGAGAATATACAAATGTAACGATAGAATTTGAATACGAATAGTGAGTTCCATAACTCGTTCCGTTTTGTCAAAGCCTTGATCATCATTCAACAAGAAGGCACTTCTATATCTTATGTGTTACTTTGTTGTTTACAAGAGTTATGAAATTGTAAAGTAACAGTTTTTTGTGTAAAAGAGAGAATTTTGGTGACTACATCTTTAGTTTTTTTACCTTTAGATCTTAACCCTCACATACTCTTTCTTTTAATTCATGTTCTGAAGCTTGCATATTAACAGAGCTGTGTTTATTTGTTCAATCTTGAGGACATAAATGAATGGTGATCAAACACAGATATCACATCCATCATGTTTCAAATATGTTGTAAGACTGCAATTTTACTCATTCTAACTGTAATTAATATCTACTTTTCGCCTGTTTCAGACCCAATTTTAGGGATTTGGAAGTTCTATTCCTGGTTTTATCTATGAAATGTGAAAATGTATTGCATCATTTTGTTGTTGTTCTTGTGCAAAGGAAATTGCATTCTTTTTGTACTACAGAGTACATTGTATATGATTAATTTGAAGTGTTCATTCCTTTTCACATATATTCTGTACATTAGACTTTGAATATGTAAGACATTTATCAGATACATGCGTCAAACTTGACAAATTTCTGGAGAGGGTGTTTATTTGTGGTTTTGCATGCTTGTCTCATTATTTGAACTTTACTGAAAGTGTGAATCATGTTGGGTGTACATGTACTGATAGATGTGGAAAGGATACTTTTTTCATACTCTAAAAGATGGTTAATATATGCTATAAAAATTGTACACTCAATTCTTGCAAAACTATTTATTCTTTTTTAAATATGAATTATGAATAGTTCCACTTATTTGATTCATGAACTGGTTTGATATATATTGTATGACTGAATTTTAATTAATTTATATAACTTTATTTTTGTATAAAATAAATTCGAGTAACAATAAATATATAGTCATATTTTTAATTACAAATGTTATTTTAAAATGATATTTACAATTAAAAAAACATTTTGCTAGATGTATTATTTTTATATTTTTATTAAAAAATCCCTAACTATTATTATTTTTACAATGAAAAATTAGTTTTTTCATTACTAATATTTTCCCGTCCTTTTTATAAAAAACACTTTACTCTTTTAAATTTATTGAATAATTACCTTTTTACATTTATTTAATAAATATATAAATGTAAAATGTCTCTTATAAAAATAAAATTGAAAGGAGGAATAAATTAATATATTTAAATATATCAAAATAAAGAAAAAGTTGATATTTATGAGAAACATACAAACCTCATTAATAAAAGACTCTATGTAAGAGTAATTGTAAGAAAAAGAAAATCAAATCATGCATAGTACTAATACATGAGATAATAATAAGTATTTGAACTCGAATGGTAAATAATTTCTATTAAAGAACGAAGATTCGGAAAATACTAAGTTCAATTTTTGACAAGCAAGAACAAGCATATTTAATCAAGAAGTAACTGGATTCATCCTGCATTCAACGTTGCTCAAAGTTTATCATATATAAATGTAATATGTCATCTTCAGTTTCAATTCTCCAAAACAGAGATGATAAATGCCGAAGCTGACCCGGGATAGCCAGCGACCAATACATAAGCCTACTTCACGCCTAAAAGTGACTTAATGACAGTCTCACTCACTCCATCGGCGTGAGGGAAGAGGTGGCCGGAACCTGGAAGCTCGTGGTAGTGAATCCACGAAAGGTTTTGCGCAATGTATCGTTGTAGCGTAACGGGAACCAAAATATCCTCGTCTCCTTGCCAGAGATGAACGGAACCTTCGTTGTTTGGAAATGGATTTTGAATATCCAAAGGAGTATATTCCCAGCGCCCAAATCCAATGTTTATGTCGCGGTGGATGCTTTCGTATTCCCCTTGCTGTCTTACCTGTGCCTGTGGAAGTCATATGAAGAAGTTACAAAACTCCAATGGGAATTGAGATAAGAAATCAGTGTTATTGATCTTCCAAATCCTTAGTTTCAATAACACTATTTGATAATCATGTTTGAATCGACTTATTTGAGTTAGTTACTGACATAAGTTTTGTGAGAGAATGTTTGAGAGAATTTATGAAAACATCTTACGGCATTTTTTATGAATTTTTTTCAACTTATTTTCATAGTTCTCCAATATAGCTTACGAGAATAACTTATCGTATATATAGAAACAATTAAACTTTGTTTTATCTTTTGCTATAAAAATAGCTTACATATATGCTTGTAAATAAGCACTTATCTTGATAAGCACTTGTGTTATAAGCTACAAATAAGTTGTTTATCCAAACAAGTGCTTGTATCATAAATACTTATCATGTAAGTGCTTATGTATGTATAAGCTATTTCTATAACAAAGATAAACTATCAGCTAAATCATTCTAAAACAAAATCCAATTTTATGATCATCTAAAAGCTTGATACTTACCACATGATTATCTTTATCATTCAACAACTTAGATATAAGCTCTTTGTCTTGTTTTGAAAGAATATCTGGACTACGGGAAATTGCACTACAAATTGGGAACCATTTTTGAGTGTTCCACCAGTACGTTAGCCATGGCGTGTAATGTGCGACACGAATAGCCCATCGGTCACGTAATTTATATTGGCTATAGGCTTCAGCAGCTAAGTTTGCAGGAAGATCAGGCCACCAGAAATTGACGACTGGAGCTAAGAGCGCGGCACCTGCTAGCCTGTTAGTATTGAAAATGTTTTAATCTCAACGGAACAAAACTACGAATAAGCTAAAAAATAAGATCTTGTTTGAATAAATAGTTTAATTAAGCATTTATCATATAAGTGTTATGCATTAACTCTCCCAAACAGTTTCACAAATGAGTCGATTCAAATAGACCCTAAATCATACCTGTGAGGAATGTGCTTAAGACAGTTCCAAACAACTTGTCCGCCCATGGAAACACCGACCACGTAAAATTTAGACCCCAACCCCAGCTGATCAGCAAGCTCTTCTACATCCAAAGCAATGCTCTTTAACGTACGATTTGGATCGGGATCGCTCTCCCCATAACCAGGTCTATCAAAAGATACAAAGTAGACCCCTAAGTCCTTAACAACATCCTGAAAAACCTCACATTAAATATAATATTACAAATCACAAAAGAATCTAAGGATGCTATAATAGGCAGAAAAAAATGTAATATAGAAAATTACAGGGGATAGGGTGTCGGCAACCACTGTGTCATGCCTGCAACTGGTAAAACCATGAATAGAGATGATTTTATACTTCGCTTCGTCTTTAGGAACACCGTGCTCTTTGTAAGCCAAATGCCTTCCATCTCTTAGCTTGATTCTTGGCGCGGTTATAGGTGGTCCATCCGGAGAGCCACATATGTTAGGAGGAGGAGGTTGGGTAACTTGATAAGCCCATGCTAGAAACCCAATAACCAACACTGCTACTGTTGTTCTAAGTATTCCTGAAAGTTTATAATGCCAATTTAAAAAACAGATAAGTACAACTTAAAACATAAAATATGGGTAATAGTCGATGCTTTAATATCAAAATACTACAACTTAATAATTAGCTCATGCCGATTTCTTCTGAAAGATCTGTTGAAGCTCAAGTGTGAGTGATAAGGATCCTATAAGTGTGAGCGAGTTCCCACAGGACCGCACTGGGAAATGCGACACCACATATTTAGCCAAAACCCTAAGGCGATAGGTGTATAGATCCTTTATCTTATATATCCGACATTTCATCGCTTTATAGTCTATGCAAGCCTTAACCACCCACACTTGAATTTCAACACTTTCCAAGAAGTAAGAGATCCCACATCCTATAACAGGATCCATCTCCTGCTCCCTCACCAAGCCGAACCAGACTCTAGTACCACTAGTTGGGGAGACCGGGGAATGCGACAACTACAACAGGTCTAGGAGAAAGGACACATACACTCAACCATAACTAAAGTTCATTAATCACCTGAGCCCAAGTTAAACTAGCTATAACCTCACACTAATTGTACTTGAAAAACTTCAACTTACTACTTAACTAAACAATACTAACAAATAAATCTCACGCTAAAGAAAAAAAGAACAAACAAATTAAAAGTTGACAAACTCTTATTGACAACTACCAAATGTTATATTGATAAGCAAAAACAACAATTATATATAGCTACGGAGCTCGACCCATTAAAATTTTCACTAAAAAAATGGATAAAAACGAAGCAAAAATCGAAACTTTGACAGTGAAAGAAGAAAAAAAGAGTGGAAGAGCGAAGACCCACCAGAAGGGAGGTGAAAAGAGGAGGATTTGTTGGCTCTCCTGGTGTGAGAACGAGCTGATGCTGCAGAAATTTTTCTGTTAACTCCAGTGGCCATAGTTAGAAGAAAAGAATGGCCTACAGAGAGTTGAAAGATTTAAGCGACGGTAAAAACAGAGACAGATCTAAGAAATGAGCATAATACATATGTCAACCGGAGCATGGCGGCGATGTACCATTTTCCTTTGTGAGAAAATAAATTGTCGTCTTTGGTAGAATTCAAATTGGATTTTAGTTAAAAATCAAATCGACTACCTAATTAAATTGTAATATGCCTAACCATCAACTATCTAATTAAGATTGTAACATGCCCAAACTTTCCCTAATATACCCTTTAATTACTTTTCAATTTACACATTAAAAAGTCCTTTCTAGTAATTGAACAAATACAACTCATTTAACTAATCATAGCATATCATTGATCCACATGGTAGTTTTTTTTTTTCCATTGGGAAAATTCGGTTTCCCTTTTTCAAGTATATTTCATAATGATTTTCCCTCTCTTTTCCAACATAATAATATTGTACCATCTCTCTCGTTTATGTGTGTTTATCCGTAAAGAACATCTTCATTTCCCTCGTCTAAATCCCAACACTTGCAAATTTCTCTGAGCTATAATGTACCATCAAGTTCTTGCCATCTTCATTTCTTTTTTTATTGTTATAAGTACACTTTATTCTTTCTTCATGTTCAACTTCATCTTCATTTTCTATTGTATTTCTGGTTATTACTCTTCAAAAATCGTTTGTATACATAACATTGATGAAGAAATTATATTGAAAGCTGATTACTCTTTGAGTTCAATGTAATGTTAATGTTCAGTTTTTATTATGATTTTTAATCTTTAAAATCGTTTTTTGCCTTCAAAACAAGTTCATTATTGAATCATGAATATCAAGTATCGATTATGTATCGTTTTCTTCAATCATCATCTTCATTATAATGTTGCAGTTCTGTTTTTGTGCTTTCTACTTTTGTTATGTAAGTTCTATATTTTTTCTATGTTTTTGATATTAGATATGTGGAAAATCATGTCAAAACCACCAATCCTTATAGTGACTTAAAGTCTGATCAAAATGTTTGGAAAATAGTCATTCGTGTAGTTGATTTGTGGATCGTAAAAAAATGCAATGGACATCAACATGTTGAAGTTATTATACAAGATACTAAGTTTTTTTGAACTTACTATGTTGTTTAATGTTTTTACGGGTTTTAATTAATGATGACTTAATCTTTTTTGCTAGGGTGACAAAATCCATGTCGACCTGGTACCGAGAACTTGATGTTTGAAAGCACACCTTACAAGAACATCAAACATATATGGTTTATAGTGGAGAACCTTTGATCAATGACCTTCCATCAAACATATATGATTTTTAATAGCGGTATCGTTGTCACAACCATCGACATCCCAAAGATTCCACATCATATATTTAAATTCAAGTAGTTTGTAGATTTTTTAAATGGAGATTTCATAGTTGATCATTTCACTACTACAAAATACACATTCGGTAACACTAATTCTACTACGGTTAGACTTCCACCGTGATGATATGTCTTAATTAACGCAAGATAATTTTCTTTTATTTACTTATGAAAATTTTAATATGATATAATCACGGATGAAACATAGGATCGTGGTTATATAATCACCCTCTCAAGGGTTCGAATCTCAACACCTTCAAATATTTTATTTCTTTAACATTTAGTCGCGCCTTTGTCTTTTTAACATTTTTGTAACATTTGATACCAACACGGTTGAATAAATGAACCCACTTGATTTAAATATTTTAAATTGTAATATACTGACATGCCAAATGTTTTATTTCTTTAACATTTAATCAAACCTTTTTATTTTTATTTATTTTTAATTTTAAAAATGAGATACCATTACGGTTTTTGAGAAAAAACCGTTGGTACTTATTATTCATTTTGTTTTAAATATTTTAAATTATAATACAATGGCGATTCTTTATGAAATTTAATTTAGTAAGTAACATATCACCATGGTTACTTTTTTGACCGTGGTGGTATCATTCATTCATTTTTATCAAGCTAACTAGCTTGTCTCTTTAGCAGCCATTCTTTGTTGAGAAACGATACACCATTTCAACCCTAACGTTTAGTGCTAAGAAAAGATACACCATTTCAACCCTAACATTCATTGTTCATCATCATCATCGGTTCATCGTTTTACATTCGTTGTTCATTTTCAACCCGTAGTCATCGTCATTGGTTTGTTTTCAACCCTAACACACCAACGCTAATACTAACATCATTGTCATCGTCAAGGAGGAGTACAACAACAACACTATCTGTATGAAACCAAATATTCACATTTACTTAGTCATCACGTTTACGGTACGTAAAACATTTTTTCAATGCACTACATATAACTTCAGTTTCCATTGTTGTTGTTATTGTTGTTTTTCTGGTTCTTGTTAAATGTGTATCATAAAACTTGATTAATCTCTTGTTGTTATTGTTTTTTTTTCTTGTTGAATGTGTGTCATAAAACTTGATTAATCTGTTGTTATTGTTGTTGTTGTTGAATGTGTATGTGATAATAGATGAAAGAGTTTGTTGTTGTTGTTGTTGTTGATGTTGAATGTGTATGTGATAATCATTGAAAGAGTTTGTTGTTGTTGTTGTTGTTAAATGTGTATATGATAATAAATGAAAGAGTTTGATATTGTTGTTGTTGTTGTTAAGGTTGTTGTTTTTTTTTAAAATAGATGTCGACTTCGTCGTATTCTTCATCTAGTGGCGAGGAAACTATAACAAGTGATACTCAAATAAAAAAGAAAAGATCACAAAAAGGTGCCACTATGCTTACCAAAGTAACAAAACTCCACAAATCTGGTATCAAATTTCCTATCGCGTTTGATTTGTATAATAGAGTAGTTAATGGTGAATACTCTTCTCTTTTAAGAGTTATGTTGTGTTTCTTGGACGTAGCAAAGTTACTATATTGGTAGGTGATTGGAAACAAGCGCCAGCTGAGGTCAAAGATAGCATATAGATAGATTTAAAGGTATTAGTTTTAATTTTCATCATTTCGGTATGACTTTTTATAATTTATAATACATTCTTATTTATTTAAATGTAGTTGACCTTTGAGTTTACAGATGGTGATAAGCACTTAAAAAAAGTGGTTAACTCATGTTAGTACGTGTTGGAGGGGCTTTAAATCACGGCTCACACGTGACTACATTAGGAATCCTAAGATTGGTCTTAAGCGTCCGTGGGTGAGGTATAACTTTCTTTCGAAGAAGGTTTGGAAAAAGTTTGCAAATGATCGTCGTTCAGAGAAATTTCTGGTTAGTACTAGTCTTATTTGTCTTGATAATTTGATGTTAATGATTTATAGATACTAATCATATTTTCACTATGTTATAACATACTAAAAGTCAAGCAGGAATTCAAAATAAAGCAAAAAACATGTATCCACATAGATTGTCTCGTGGGGGTTACAGAAAACTAGAGAAAAAATGATTGAGAAAAAAAAAACAACAAATGGGAGATGAAGACTCCATTAATCATGATCACAACCCATCTCCACCGTCAAGGCATGAGAAGTGTAAGAGGGCTCGACTAAGACCAATGGAGAGTACACCTCAGATGCTTCAACAACAGTTGTTGAGAAAATTGTAAGTATGATTTATTGTTCGTATGTTATGTGTTATTTAAATGATGTGGTAATTACAATATTAATATTATCATGCATGTTGTGTAGGATGTGTTGGTTGAGGAGGCCCATGGAGGCTCATTTGTTTCAGAACCACGACATGATATACTAGTCAAAGCTATTGGAACAGATGAGCATGGTGGGCGCGTTCATGGTGTTAGAGAAGACGTCGGTCTTAGATTATTCTTTGGTCCAACCAAAAAAAGCACCGATAATGCCGAATTACAAGAGCATAGAGAAATTATTGCTCTTGAGGAGGCCCATGGAGGCTCATTTGTTCTAGAACCACGACATGATATACTAGTCGAGGCTATTGGAACAGATGAACATGGTGGGCGCATTCGTGGTGTTGGAGAAGGCGTTGGCCTTAGATTATTCATTAGTCCAACCAAAAAAAGCACTGATAATACCGAATTACAAGAGCATGGAGAAAAGATTTCTCTTGTTGAGAAGGAGTTAGAAGAGTAGAGGAAGATGTTAGAAGCCGAGCGGGAAAGTCGGAAGAAAAACATAGAAAAGCTAGAAAAGATAGAAATGTGTTTATTATGTATTGATATATTATCGCAAAGAATAAGTGAACCCTTACCACAACGCACATATGAAAATAATGATAATAATGTTGATGATCAAGTTCTCCAAACACATGGTGTACGTCATTCTAGCACCAAAGGAAGCAATTGTTCATCCGCCCCGCCAAAGAGGTTAATGAGTTATTGGATCCTTCCACAAACGAAATCGCCACGTTATACGTTTCGGTTACGGAAAGTGATGAACCATATTCTCTTTCTCTAGAGCATTGCCCATCGGTAGAGCTCTTCTATGTTTGTCCTAGTGACATACAGGATTTTCTCTATGGTGGTAATTGGCTGGACATAGGGGTATTGCAAGTTTGGTGCACGTAAGTAAATATTTGAACATGCACGTCAATATAGTACATTATCATTTTTGTATTTCCTTACTTAATTTTTGAATTTTGTTTAACCATTTAGGTACATTTATCGTGTATGTATAGAGTTAAATAAATCCAATATGTATGGCATCTTGTGTTAGAACACAGATTGGTTCTTAGTTATATCTCTATGTTTTGATGATAACTCTTACGGAATTTTGTATTAAGAAATTATATACTCTAAATTTTGTTCAAGTATTTTTGCTGCAGATATTAAATTTAATATTCATCTGAAAGCAAAAATGGACCTGAATGTTGAACTACGCAAGGCTCTGAAGCGTCAGAAGCATCTCTTAGAAGACTCTGAGCGCTGCCTACAGAAGACTCTGAGCGCTGCCTACAAAAGGATCTGAAGCAGAAGCTACAGAAGCATCTGAAGCGTAAACTGAAGACTTTGTATGAAGAGTCTCAAGCACTGTTT